CTGAACAGCCTCCCCCCCCCCCACCTTGTTGGGCAGGGTCCCCTCACTCTCTTAATCATGGAGAGGGGGCTATGGGGGAGGAGGATTAAAATCCAACACCTTTAGGACAGGTGTGCCTATTAGTGAAATTTTACAGCTGCTCCAGGCCCTGAGGTGATGCCCAGGGGGGCTTGCTCTACTGGAATTGGGGCCTTGGGAGAAGAGTTCACTTCTGCCAGCCTCTTGCGGTGCCTCCTGGCCAGTGGGCACATTTCCCACATCCAGGGCCCGGGCGGTGAGTACAGCAGGCGCCGGCATTCACAGATGTCGCCCAGGACAGAGTATCAGCCATTTATTAGGGCGCTGAAGGAGAGGTGAGTGGAACAGGCAGGCTCTTGGGGAGCCCGGGGAGCTGCTTCATCAAGACAGGTCGTTTTGAGTTTTGTGCCGCTCAGGTGGGGATGCAGAGGAAAGCCTATTAGATAGAAGGTGTCTCTGGCTGGGGCTGACTCTGGACCCTTCTTGGTTACTGAACTGGACTCAACAATAAGACTCAAAGCAGGACCACTTCTCGGCTGGATGAGTTTACAGATGAGTTGTAAATGCCTTGCAGCAGGCGAGCCACCCCCCTGGCGCTGTGATAAAATGTCGCTCACCCTCTGGCGCTGTCTCTCTCTCTCTCTCTCTCTCTCGCCTAGGGGCCAGGGTGCAGCAGCACCACCCTCAGAGCCGGCTCCCCCTGCTTCTGAACAAAACCTGAAACACAAGGAGGATTTTGTCCCCAGACCTGCTGCTGGAAGGCAGAGCCTCAGTGGGCCTGGGAGGGATGGGGTGGGGGCCCAGCTGGGCCTCCAGCTGCCCCCTCTCCCCACGTGGTGTTTGTCCCTGAGACAATGAGAAGCCTGCACTGATGGGCAGCTAGTGGGGAAGCACCACCTCTTAGCACCTCTGGCCATATCATTCTTAATGGGCGAGAGGGAGCAATAGGGGCCCAAGAGGATTACAATCTGCCCTAAGGGGTTACTTACACCTTTAGGACAGATGTGCCTATTAGTGAAAGTGGTCAGCTCTACACCTCTCAGCACCCTCCCCTCTCCCAGTCCTCTGTGCCTATGTATTCTCTCTCTCTCTCTCTCTCTCTCTGTCTCTCTCTCTCTCTCTCTCTCTCTCTCACACACACACACACACACACACAGAGCCAGGAAATGTGGGCATGTCCCTACTCGACCCAACTTGGGGGCTGTGAGAAGAAAGAAACAAGTTCAATACAGTCGTCTTCTCAGCGCTGCAATTTTCTCTGGCTTTGCCTTTGATTAATGGCCCCTGTGTCGCTCCCTCCCAGCCTGCATACCTGAGAATCAGATTTCACCTTCTGTGCCCTGGCCTCAGGCCCTTGGCAGGGGGGTGCTGAGTCTCCCAGAGTGGTTGGGGGAAGGTGCCTGCCAGCCCAGAGGGTGGATCTGGCCAGGCTCGGAGTCCTCCTGTCCCACAGGCCCCAAGGACTGGGTTGAAAGGACCTTCCTGAAATGCAGGCCAGCTCTGGGTCCTGCCCCATGGCAGTGTGATCCGTGGCCTGCCCTGGGCCTTCCCAGAGCACCAGACCTTTCTACTCTCTCTGTTGTGTTTCCCTCAGCCTGCCTTTGCCTGTTCCAAGCTGTCTGTCAGCAGAGTGTCAGGGAGGATGGGTTTCTCTTAGTGACAGAAAAAAAAATGTGATAAAATCACAGAAGCGCCACGCGCCTCTCTGAGCTCGCTCCCCAGGAGAGCTCTAGCAGCCGGCCTTCTCGTCCCCCCAAACCTTTTCTCTGGATCTCGTCTTGACCGTGAGGAATGGAGCAGAATCCACCCGAGCGCCAAGCAGAGTGGAGCACTGTGCAGGAGTGTCCTCAGGGGTCTCACTCTTCTCCTCACCCACCGCACCTGGGTGCTGCTGGGTCCCACGATAGGAATGGGGCTCCAGGGATGGCAAAGTCATGACCTCTGTCGGCATCTGAGCACAGCTCTGCATGCTCCAGTGGACAGGGCATTTGCCCATTCTCACCATACCCTGCCCGTGTTCTCTCTCTCTCTCTCTCTCTCTCTCTCTCTCTCTCTCTCTCTCTCTCTCTCTCTCTCTCTCTCTCTCTCTCTCTCTCTCTCTCTCTCTCTCTCTCTCTCTCTCTCTCACACACACACACACACACACACACACACACACGTGCCCTTGTCTCTGTGAGCTGCAGCCTGGGAAAGAAAGATGCTGGGGAGGGGAGGGGAGACCCCTCGCACCAGCCGGCTCTCCTGGCCCCGGGGGGAGCACCTTCTGGTTCCCTGGTAGCCTCCTCCAGCCTGCAGCTGTAGCTTAATCCGCTTGCAGTTATTTTGGGCATTGCCACCCGGGGAAGGTAGCTGGGCGCTCGCTCCGTGAGCCGGGGGTCTGCGGAGTTAATGCTCCCGCTGGCTGGGTTCCCCCTGGCTGTTTTGGCCTTGCCTTTGCCAAGTCACTTAATGAGCGCCATGGTGGGGCTGAGTGAAGCAGGCGGAGAGAGGCTCAGGCCCCTCTTGGGTCCCCACAGGTCTGGCTCGCGTGCCTCACAAGAGTACACAGCCAGGCACTTTGCTCAGAAAGCCCAGTTGCTATGGAAACAGTATGCAGTATTTTCTCCTTTCTAAAGGGAAGCTCCCAAATGCCTGGATGCAGTAACTGCTTCATGTGAGGGCTGCATTTTCCTGGGACTCTAGCATGGCAGATGAAGCTGGTCATCTCTCTGAGTGAGCTGGGCAGCCAGGGATCCCCAGAGGCGAGGCCCCCAGCTGACTGCACGCCCCAGAGGCCTCTGCCCACCTGCCAGTGCCCAGTGCGCGGGGCCTGCGAATATGCCACGGCTTTGGCTTTGGAATTCGAGCCTTGGTCTTGACGGTGTAGTGTGGGGCCAGGGAAGCGATGGCAGCATGGGGGCAGGACTCAGGGGCCCTCCCTCCTGGGTGGGGCCCTTTTGTCTGGAAGCAGGGACATCCGTGGTTTCCCATCTGCCTCGTGACAGCCTCCGGTCCTGCTTTTTCTTCCAGCCACTGCTCGGCCGTGATGCTTCTGGGGTTTGGCCCCCGAAGGCTGGAGGGTGGGGCGGGGAGTAGGGGATGAGCCCCCGGTATGCACTCAGTTGGTGTCAATAGAGGCAGGAGAAGGAGCCATTTGTCCACTGCATGTCTAGGAAAGGTGAGGGATCCCCAACCTTCACAGTGACCCCCACAGAGACGTGAGGACACAGGGCTGTGTCAGGTGTCCTGGCTGGAGGCTGTGTCCTCAGCCAGATTAGCTGCCCCTCACATTCAGCTGGCGCC